GCAGTTACAATTTTTAAAGCACAACAAAATCCACATAAAAATAAGACAGCAATTTTAACAACGTATCGACTATTGAATGAATTTTTGCAACATGGCGGACATTGCGAAATCAATTTTTTTGGAATTTTATTTAATAAAATAAAAAAAGCTTTGGCTGGAAAAACAAAAATTGTTACCCAAATAAGGCATATATAGTATCAAAAAGACGAAGATGGGTTTACGCTCATACACTTGTCGGTCCATCACTCATAAAATTCCAATACTATCTAAATTAATTCAAACATTTTTTGTATTTAACGAAAACTAAAATAACTTCTTTTTTTTTGAGAAAGTAGAATTAGTTATTAAAATTATTTGTTAGAAATACAATAAAAAAAATATAATATTCAAACTAACCAAAATCTCACCTTTTTTTTCCTATCTTTTCCTATCTCTCTTCAAAATTTTCTAGATTCCTAATTATAGTTTTTTTTTTGTTTACTATTGCAAATGACCCTTACTTATTACAAATCCATTTTCTTTTGCTTGTCTTTCTCAATTATTATGTCATTTTTGGAGTAAGAGAAAACGAACGCTGACACCGAAGAAATACAACTTACGCGTCAACCTAACATCACGCCCACTTGCAAGTTACAACCAACTGTGAACTGATACTGCGAGTCGTGTGAAATTTTTATTTCTACTTTCTGTCCAATTTTTAGCCGTCTTAGCTTAAAATTCGTAACTTTCTCAAAGTCTCTCGCTTTTTCCATCTGATTTTTTTTGTTTGTCATCTGATTAATATTAAACAAAGAGAAGTCAAACAAGGAGAACAAAGGTCAACCTAAAAAAAAAATACTTAACCAAATTAAGAGAACACAAAACCACACTAATAAAAAAAACCTTGTTATAACTATATAACAACAGGATAAGTATGTGCTATGTATTATAAGTGGTAATAAGAGAGAGAACGAGAGTAAACATAAGAAAGATGACAACTTTAGTAAATAAGTTTTTTATTTCTCTTTCGTTCCTCGTCTATTTGCATAAGAGTGCCTATATATAGGCAAGGAAAATGAATAAAAAAAATGAAAGACCGACTTACAAAGTCGGTACAATTTAGGATAAGTGTTATGTAAAGATAAACTCTAATTTAGATAATCATTACTATATTATAACA